AATTAAAGTCTTCAGGTTCATCCCTGAAGAAGCTTGAACCATTTGAAGGAGGCAGCCATAATGATACTTGGCAATGTTTTGGATATTTGGATGCCATAACTAGGTTTATATGTGAGGTATGTACAGATAATGAAGATGATGATGATGGTAATGATGATGACGGAAAGGTGATAGAAGGGGAGGGAAGAGTGTTTGTAAGTAGTTTTCTTGACACCCTATATTTGTGGGGGGTATGGGTGGCCAAGGTGGCCAAAGCTGCTTTGGTGCTGACTCACAACTGTCTTGCTCAACAGGGGAGGTGGAGCAACCTAAGAGGGGAGAAGGGGGGCTAAGATTGAAAAACATACGAGACAAGAATGGGAAAAGGGAAAACTTGCCCCACCCCCTCCCCACCCCCTGCTCAACCCTGGGCTGAATAAAGACAGTCACTGATTGTAACATTCTTTCAACATTGTYAGGTTCAACAAGCCTGTGCATCTGGGTTGATTTCTGGACCAATTGTTGGCGAGGCTGAAAAACCAACTACAGCAGTCCTAAACATACACAAAACTGGCCTAACACAAGACATCTGAACAATTTTATTGTATATCATGCTCAATCTTATGTGARTTGATYRTGACTAGCATTTGGGTAGGGWGGRTACTTTGGAAATTYTTTAYAAATTCCAAGGTACCCCTCCCTACSGAATTACTAGTCACSAGTAATTTACATAARGTAGAGCATTACCTTATGATATTCCTTGRCAATTTGTCTTAATTTATAACAATAAATCAGATAAACCTAAGATTCGAATGRTGCATCTATGTCACCGAAACATGAAAGAGGGAGGGRAGATTTCGTTKTGCCAAATACTGTTTCTACMTATTTCTCTATAACTTGTAGTAAAAGCGTTMAMYTTTTTTTTTYCGTTGAGCCAGAATCGTAGCYGTAAACGTGTTAGAGCGGCTGTAAATGAACAACATCATTTCCTTAGAAGGCTGCAGATCACCGTGCGCTACTCTGAGTTCCTTAGACTAGTTCCAGTGCTCGTTTTCGCGGGCAACCTACCACTGAGAAGCACTGGAACGAGAGACTGTATCCCAGGGTACAGAACATCTCAAGTTAAAAGGACTCAAAATGATGGCATATTTTCTGGAGCTGCTGAAGTCATTTTTTCTCCTAGCTTTCTGCAACATAATTGATTGCAACAATGCTCTGCAAAACGTGATATCCTATTCATGACCGTTGCTTACATCAGTACAGGAATTACATCRGTACAGGAAGTGACTCATCAATCATCAGACACAAGTCTGGTTTTCTATCTGGAAATCATCGCTATTAAAACAAGTCGGGCTTTCCAGACTTTACATTTAACTACATAGCTTATTATTTTTTGATTCGTTCTGTGGAGTTCTACGGTGACGTGGAGCGGGGGCGTACCGCCAGCTTGGTGCCGAAAGGTCTTTTCTATGATTTGAGCTTCTAAACAAAAGAATTTTTTTTAGACATCCGGACCTTTTCCCCCTTTCAAGAGGCGATTTGAACTCGATTTTCAAAAGAGATGGATGAGTTTTGATACGCACTGTAGCCAAGATTTATATTTCGCARTCATGCTTGGCGGAAAGGATGTGACGTACAGGTAATTGAAGTTTATTGACTCAACGAAGCTGAACGGATTATAACAAGCWAATTAATAATGATAAATTTATAGATTTCTATTTATATATCGCATAAACAAGCATTCCCTCGCGTTTATCGGAACGAAGCAAGTAAAATAAAAGAACACCTTTGACCGGAATGGATTTGAAATAAGATAAAATTCCCCCGTTTTTACTCGCTTTCAAAATTTTTTTTTTTTTAATACCAGCTCCCGACTCAGTTGACAACTTTTTTTTCTTGTACTGGCGCACTCCGAAGCCCCTTATAATGTACTATTCTACCCAGCGCGCTCCTAAAAAATCCCCATCCCCTTTTACTCCCTAATGGACGAAGGAGACGAGAATTACAATTTTAGTTTGTCTAGGAATACGAAAAAAAGTTCACCTCAAAATAGGGAGGACTACAGCCTGACCCATGCATGGCCCTGAAACACCAGTCGACACTGAGGGGAACGGAGAGAAAACCTAGCTAGATCTTGACCAAGCTGATTTGGCTGATCTATATTGACGTTCGCTCCGTTTCTTCCTATGTTTTCGAGTATTCCTTCCCCCTAACCCCGGCCGCAAAATCCTGATTTTATTATCCCGCTCGCGCGCGGGATCAGAAGAACAGATAGACACTGTTGTTGTAGTCACGTGCTGCCCTAATATGGGAGCCAGTCAACAAAGTCAAGTAATGACATTTGTGTTAGTTTTCCAAGTAATGGTCATGGATAATGGCGGATCTCAGTCACACTCAAAAAACCCGAGAAAAACCCTCCTAAACCTCACTAAAACCTCCTAGAACTACCATGGAGGAAGACTTCAAAAAACTACTTGAATGTAACCGTGGAAAATTCCGAGCTGCGGTTGCTGCAGAGCGTTTGTTATCGCCATTGGCAATCAGTCATGTCATCTCTGCTGATGATCTTCAAACTATACAGAACGAATCTCCTAGTAAAAGACTGGATAAACTTATAGACATCTTGAAACGACGAGATTATGGGTATTTTAAGAAGTTCTGTGTTGTCTTAGAGACGACGTATCCTTATATGCTGAACTGTATGTTCTTAGGCGTGGAGCCTCCAGCTTCAGGTAAAGAGCTAGAAACGGTTAATGATTTTGCTCATGCACCAGCAACAAATCGAGCTTTCTTCTCTAAARAAATCTTCTTTTAACGAACTTCACAAGAAAAACTTGAAATTTGTACTATATTTATTTTTGAACCCTGTGTGAATTTAGAATTGTTTATTTTCCCACGATACAGACGGAGTTAGAAGTTTGTTTACGAAATCTTGGACAGCTCTGTAGACAGGGAAAACATATCTTTATRATGTTTGTCTTTGAGTTGAGGATCGTATTCCTTTTAACTGAGAATAAGCTCAAATACCACCACATCAAACACGCAAATTAAACGAATTGRCTTTAAGTTTGAAGCCAGTTCGAAAGAAATGTTTTTGATGTTTTTGCTGAGTCTTCATGACTAGACTAAAAATTGGCCAAAAATTGTCTATCAAAGTTTTTGATTACTAGAGTTTCTTATTCAAAATTAAATAAGAAATAATTGTTACTCAGCCTTCCTGCTTTAACCATAATTATCAGTTTTTTGGTTATTTGTCTTAAATGATACGTAGTTTTTTGACAATGCAAGAAAGATTCCTAAATATAAAATTATATTAGGTAAAAGTAAGATGGCGTTACACATGGGCTATCGTGTCTTCTAATCGTGTAAAAACATAGAAAATTCATTATTAATGTTTGATTTCTTTATCCTAAGCCACTACAAGACTGGAAAAAGCTAATCAAAGCAAGGTTGTGGATAAAGAATTCGATGGGAATCATTCTCGAATCAGTCAAAGTGAGTATAAACTCGTGGAAAAACCTTTCCAGTGTTCTAATGTTGTTGACGTCTTTTTAGACAGTTCGGTTCATTTAGAGTGTGAATTTYTTTCAACTTGAGACGTTTTGAAGAACAATCCTTTGTTATTTAAAAAGAATTTTATATCGATTGGTTGAACTGTTATTTTGTGGTTAGATAAGAAAAATATATTGTTGTTTTGCACATGATACGTGAGTGAAGTTGCATTAATTAATCTAGACTCATGCATGTTTGAATTACCCCCACAGCAAGACTTCCAAACGCTTCCTCAAGCCAGATCAACTTCTGCCTCGATCAAAAATTTCTTTAAATATAATTTCCGATTTTTCCAAGCATATAAAAGGACCCCCTGAAAGAGCGCTTTTTCCTCTGTTCTGTCAATTAACTAACTCTACACAAAAGGGATCGAGTGTTTTAGCTTTAGCGRCGCTTTAAGTCGGATCCTACTAAAGGATCTAAGTAAACACTGATGACAGCACGCCTAAGTGATAATGAAGCCGACTTAGTTTCATGTAAATAAACTCRAGGATCTGGGCTGCCAGCCAGCGAGGTCCATGCAGGGCTGTATAGGAACWACTCTATATGTTGTATTTGGTGGTGTTACTAGTAATACCAACTCTAGTCTAATTAACATCTCTTTAACCTTCACTTGCACAGTTGATGATAACACCACACAGTGTGGGCCCCCAAAATGCCCAACAGAGCATATATTTTCATAAGATTGTCTTTGTTTGCTCCTTTGGATTATTTTAGATTTAAATTTTATTTAGAGCAATGCAGAAAGGTGTAAAAGAGTTGTAAATAATTGATTGAAATTTCTTTTGCATGCATTTATTTTTGTTTGGGGGGGGGGGGGATGTCTATTGTTTTTGTCCTTTTTTGCAAGACAATCAATTTATCATTTCTAAAATGAACTAAAAAACTTCCTCGTTTCATGCGGGTGATATAGCCATTGGCTAGCAAACCTGTGGCTATCATTTCATGAACAAGCTAGAAGATCTGTTCAACAAATATGGACTGGAAAAAATAGGTTCCAAAGTGATTAGGATCCTTTGAATACCGCTGGTTTAGAAACACAAAAAGTTACAGATTACGTTATTTAATTTAATGTGGCAAGGCTCAAAATGATGATCAGAAATTGGTCACTCAGTCCAGCCGAATGTCTCTTAGGCCACTTCTTGATCTTTCACATTGACTGGACACAAGTTGATCAGTCACATGTCGCTGGTCRTCATGTCCAGCCATTGAGTACCCATGGATTATGTTTTTTWWAATTCATTCTTCTAAAACCATTCTCTCATAGGTAGAAAATGAGCTTTCTTTAACCACATTTGCTGTTTGTATTTTCAGGCGCAAACAGGCGTAACAACATTGCAAGGAGCACAAGTATGACAGGACATGATTTATGGAAAGACAGGTATTCACTTCTTAAGAATGAACTAAAGGCAGTGAAACGGGATTTGGAACAAGCCAGGTCCGAGTTGCAAAAGGCTGAAAAAGAGAGAGATTCAGCCTGCCACCAGCTTGCTGAATTATCAGGAAAGCAGACAGTTGAAAACATTGAGCTACAGAATAACACTTCAAGTAATAACTCCATTATTAACGAAAGAAATAATGATTACGAAAGACTGAAGCAGGAGTATGTTAATGTATTGACAGAACTTCAAATATTGAGGCAACAGAAARCTGATTTTAGTGAAAAGCACAATGCGGCATTACAAGAGGCTGAGTATTTCAGAAAACAACATAAAACAGTATTAAATAAATGTGATTTACTTGTGAGAGAAGCTCAGGGTCTGAACCGAAAACTGGAGGAAAGTTCAAGGGAATGTGAAAAGATTAAACAGGATTATGAGGAAATTGTGCTATTGAGAGAACGAGAGAAATTTGAAATGAAAGATAGGAATATTGATTTGATACTTGATGAACATCAGAGCCCAGATGATGCATTTGCTGCTGAAAAGTTGGAGTGTTTACAAAAGGATTATGAGCAGCTACAAGAGACCCATCGGGAACTCAGGTCTGAGTATAATCATGTCTTTAATCTCATGCAGTCAACAGAAAATGATTATCATAGTATGAAAGATAAGTGTGATCATCTAGTTCATGAGAGAGATTCTCTTGCAAAAGACTACAGAGGGCTTAAGCAACAGTGTGAAGCAGCATTAAAAAATGCAGAAAAAGCAGTGAAAGAACGAGATAATGTTATTAAAAGCAAACAACAAGCTCATGCTGAAAGAGATGCYGCAATCAAAGACTGTGATAAACTTTTGAGTCAGAAATTAAAAATTGCAAAGGAACTTTCAAAAGTAACGGAAGAACGAAACGCAGTCTTGAATGAATATAAATTAGTGATGAGTGAGCGAGACAATGTTCATCGGGAGACTGAAAAGGTCCAAGACCACTTTCATTTGCTACAGACGACCAACAAGTACCTGACAGAAGAAAAAGAAAAGCTGTGTAATCTTAACAATGCTTTGCAAGATGAAGTAAATCATTATRTTGCAGAAAACGATAAATTATTAAATGAAATTTATGCACTGAAAGACAAGACCCAACATTTAATGCTAGAAAACAAGAATATTGCTATAGATAGAGAAAAGGCTCTCGATGACTGTGAAATGCTTAAACAAGAACGTGATGCTGCTAGAAAAGAACGCAGTGAAGCAATCATTCATAGGGATAAGATACTGAAAGAATGCTTCAAAGTTAAGCAAAAACAGGACTCAAAGGGAGAAGGCAAGGAAATGGACTCCTTAAGAAAACAGTTCCAAATTTTGTCCAAAGAGCTAACCAATGCATTGCATGAGGCAGACATTGCAAAGCAGAGGTATGACTGGGCTTTGTTAGAGAGAGACAAGGCTATTCACGAGCGTGAAAGGCTTCACACCTCTCATGAACACCTGCAGGATGAGCATAATAGAGTCATGAATGAAATGATGGACATGGTGCATGATTCAGATCACATTAGGACACAGCATTCTGAAATCATGATGGAACTGATAGATCTCAAAAGTCGCATTGAATCTCAGTTGACTTCAAAGGGGTCTGAGAGGGAACTATTGTCTAGTAGAGACTCAGCAATAGACACTGACTCAATGGTAAGCGAAACATTGTGCACCAATAATTAAACCATAGACTAGAGCTCTTCTCAAGGAATCAAGGGTGGAGTAGTGGTAGTGTACTCTTCTTTCACCTCTGGGGTCATGGGTTCTTTCCAGGATGTGACATCACGTGTGTCTATTTTGTTACATCTGTAACTTGATTTAGGGTTTTTTCCCTCTTTGCTGACTTTGAACAGCCTTAAGAGGTTGTTACAGCGTATCAGTGATAAAATTGGAAAACCTTTGTTTCACTTGGGCATAATGATTTCCCATTCCAAACCGTGTGTTGTTCTCTTGAATATAAGATTCTTTGTTTGAGTTGTATCCATATTAATGTGTCTTCTCATGCACAACCATTAAACAAAGAAATKATACTCAGAGAATGCCAAGTGGTTCGAAATAGGAAAACATTATGCCTAAAGAAAAGGTCTTCTAAGCAACATATAATGTATACAGTCAGCAAGGACTGTCAGTAGAATTTAATGAAAACCCTGAAGGTGCTTAGTCTTTGCATAGCTTGTGCTGCAAATGTGAGCCAAAATGAATCTCATTACAAAATGATTTGTTTTATTTATTGTTTAAGGAGTGGGAAACAGAATCTATTGTACTGGAGAAGGTGAGAATGATAACATGTGCCAGTTTTCTTCCATGGCATGTTTGTCAACAGTTGCAACGAAAATAAAACTCTTGCCATGATTTTTTATAGTAATCAAATGAATGTGTATCATTCTTCAGGTAAGCCATGATAAGGACCTTGGCATAATCATTGGCGGTGGCCGGGACACTCCTCTTATGCCCAATGACTCATCCATCGTGGTGACCGATGTTACCAAAGGCAGTATTGCAGAAGGCAAATTAAAGTAAGCCACACTCTTATAAATGAACTAAAATGTTAATGATCACATGATGTAGTTTCCTGATATTTTGAAATTGCTAATCTGTTGTTTCATGTTCACTAGGGTGAATGACTGTTTGCTGAAGGTGAATGATCTTGACCTGACCAATGTTGAGCATAAGACAGCCATGCAAGCTATTACCGCCAGTAGCGTCATCAATCTTGTATGTATGCCTGATTGCCATGTAAAATTCCAGATCATTAAATTTCAATTCTTATCAGTGTGACATGTGCTACTATGGCCATCTGACTAACGTTTTCTTCCTAAGAAAGCAATTTTACCTTTGTTATAGCCAAGATAGATGATAGATTTGATCTTTATTTACATAATACAAATGATGAACAGATACACTGCCTTGCATCACTGTGTTGTTAGGGCCTTTTCTGTGTTTGATAGACAGGATGCATTGTGGTCTGTGAGGAAAAGATGTTTGTACTTAAGCTAGACCACAATGCACCATGTTCACTATCTGTTCACTAGAAAAGGTCTCTGGGATCATTATACCTGGTTTTGCCATCACAAACTAGTACATTCATTCCATGATGAATGTGTGCACCCTCACTGCTGTGCCACGTACATACCTATGTTTTCCATCAGCAGCAATATTCTATGCTGCTATCTTAAATTCTACACCACACAGGCTATAGAATGTCATGCAATTGCTTAACTTAAAAATGTTTTTTATCCTGTTCTAGACCGTAAGAAGGCGGAGATCTTCAAGTGTCAAATCATTCGTTCATCCTGTACAGTTGACTCTGACTGATAGTAATGGTAAGTTACCAATTAGAAAAATGAACTTTCTATAGCTAGTATTTAATAGAATGTAGGTCAGCATCCTATTTAGCAAATCCACCCCCTTTTTGTTACCACCCCCAACCCTAACCAAATAAGATRTAACCAATGCATCCATTCCGACATATGCATCCATTCTGTTCGTATTATGTCAGCTCCGCCAGGCATATAACTATTTCAAAAAAACGTTGTAGGAGAACTGAGATGGGTGATGAATGTTCTTATTTTTTTGGGCTAAAATATGAAAAATAAGGTTTCTAAACTCCATGCATGGTCATGCTTCTTATTCCAAGGCCAAAGAAAACTACATTGTTTGGCTGTGAATATATCATAATTTGCAGTGTGCTTAATCAGTCTCAGATTCTAGATTTAAGATCTCCAACCRACAAGTTTTTTTTGAAATAGGTGTATACCCGCAACGGATTTATTTGTCATTTTCAAATTAACAAATTGACATTTCAGTTGTTTATATATCTGTTTTTTATTGGCGGTTAATTGCATCATCACATTGTCAAAGTAGTGTGGATCCACTAGACGTAGYTGTCCATGTCAGCTTATTTGTCTGTCCTCTTATTGATGATAGAAAATCGCAATCAGTGTGCGAGAAATTTGTATGTTTTAGCAATATTGGTAATTGATTGACATTTTAATTTTGTTTTCAGAACATGGAATTCATGTTGATGAGGCAAAGTATATCAGATTCATCTCTCCTGGAAGTGTTGCATCAAATCACCCAATGCTGTCGGTAGGAGATAAGATACTCACTGTAAGTAGATATTGCATACCATGCATCGTAGGACAATTCCTGAGATTTTTCCAATCAAGCAGATCAAACAGTTTACAGACTAACCAAAGTTCAAAGGATATAGATTTTTTGCACCCTAATATATTAATATGATGTGCAGTTCCAGAAATTATTTATACTGCCCAACATAGGAATTTGGAATTTCYGAGGAGTAGGAGGGTCAGAAAGAGAACAAAATYGCAGAGTTTGCATGGAAGAAAATTGGAATTTCAGGGCCGTAACCAGGGGGGAGCACAGGGTGCACGTGCAACCCCCCATAAAAGCTTAAGGTCCGCTCATCCATCTCCTTTTTTTTTCTTTGGTTCTGCTTTCTTTTGGTTACCTTTTTTCTTTCTTTTTGGTTCTGCAAATTATTGTCTGTGCACCTCCCTGCAAGATCCCTAGTTACGCCACCGAGTTGGTAATAAAAAAACGATCAATGGTCCGATTTTATTCGATGTGACCCTCCCTGTAAAAGTTCTGGTTATGGCCCTGAATTTCCAGGAGTAGAGGGGAGGGGGGGTGTTTAAATAAATTCCTCCATGGGGGGAGGGAGGGGGTATGGATAATTTTATGGAACTACACAATATGTGAAAAATAGTGTAGAATACAAGTAAAAGTTWTCTTTCTCTTTTAGATTAATGGTGTGTCTGTGGAAAATCTGTCACAAGGCGAAACTGAAAAACTTTTATCAACAAGTACAGTGAGTCTTGCCGTGCAAAAGGCCAAGTCAACTACCCCAACTCATGCACTTCATTCATTACTAGAAGAAGTCAATAACAAGATTAATTATGAAAACAACATGTACCAGAATTTACAGTCGCATAGGAAAAAGATACTTATGGACAGCTCTAATGAAGTGTATGAACATGGTCAAAGGAGAGGTTATTATTCTGGTCGAAGCTCACCATGCAYTGAAGGGCCTGGATCTTTTCAAGATTCTCTGTCAGAACCAGCATTAAATTCTTCTCCATCACTGGCTCCATTCTACGACAGTGGGAAGGAAAAAAGCCAAGGAACACAGACTGATTCCAGTGATACATCAATTGAAGCCATTAGTGAAACACACCTTGCAGCTAATAATTCCCACCAYTCTCCCCCTCAGGTCAGTCCTGAGTCAAGTAGATCATTTATGGCAGAATCCCACAATCATCCATATCAATATAATATGTCTTCAAAGGAAAAGCCTTTACCACCACCAAGAACTTGTTCATACATGACAGAATTAATGTCTTCTACGACCATGCCAGCCAGCACTTACAGTCACGATTCAAAACATTATGGTAATGAGAGGAATCTACCATCACCCTCCATGACAACCTCTTCTGCAGGGTATTATACCCCTACATGTACTTCAATTACTGATGAATATCCTTTAGATCAAACTCGTACAAATTCTACTCAGCGCTCAAGAGGCACTCGTCCACAGTCAGCTCCCTCATCAAGACATCAGGTTTGTTTGGTGCATTTGTTCTACACTGTCTTACATTATATCAGTCACTGGTTTTGAGTAGTACACCATGTAAAATATCCAATGAATTACTTGTGCTGTCAAGTATACACACAAGATACAAGTAACATGTTGGATATTCCATGCTTTGCTACAAGAGGATCAATTACCTCAGCATTWAGTCGAGAAATTCAAAACACTGCAAAGGACTAATAAGAAAAGGTGGAATACTGGAATATACCGCAGTTATCCTGCATTGTGATTGGCTGCATTTTCGTTAATGTGAGATAATCGTTATAAGTTATTTTGATTTGAATCCACCAATAATGATTTAKATCTAAGCTGACAATACAGTTGTGTATTGGCAGCTTTCTGTCGATCAAACTTATAGGAGAATCACGAAATAATGGAATTTACATGCATCATAAGTCCCTTGAATTATCATTGTGTACACATTAGTCACTATTATTGTATTTTTATAATGCCCCATCATTTTAATTCGAATTTATGTTTCAGTACTTGCCATACACCAGTCATTTGGATCCTCTGGCTCTTGCTGTCCCAAAATCGAGCCCACCAGGACCACCTGCATCTGTATCAGTAATGAAATCACGRACAGTTCCATTTTATACAGCAACAAGCTACGTCATCCCACGATACAACGCCGCACCTGCCGAGACTCAGCACTGCATGCCTGTTTCCAGTAAGCAGGACATATCTCTACCCCACAGTAGTGGCTCTGTGTCTAGCAGTCATAAAGGCTGGTCCTTAGATCAGTGTCTGCCAATACACCATTCTAGGCAAGGTTCCTCTCAAAGTGTTGATGAAAATGACTTCAGGAGAAGACATGCATTTCAGCAAAGCTTTGACTCCTCTAGTGGACATCATTCAAATAAATTAATGAATYGCATGAGTTTGCCTGGAGTTCATTTCAGTTCTCAGCCATGTGTTCCTTTGGGTGTGTCAGGAAGTTCTGTTGGATCTGCTGGTTCACTTTCATCAGGACAGGGAACTCCTCTGCGAACCCCTTCCACACCTATTGTACCAGTGATGGAGGGCGAAATTCTTGCATTCGACTTTAGTGGACATGGCCCTTCAAGTTCTACTGATGATGATAGGTAATGAATGAATTTCCTAAGTGAATTTGATTTTTATCATTGTTGAATGTAATTTTATCTGACTATTTTTTAATTCCAGAAGTTGGCTTGGCTCTTGAAAAAATATCTAATTATTTCTAATGGCATTAGTATTATTGTTCCATTCTTTAAGATCATCTTAGTTTTCTTTTTATTTCTGATATAGAAATGTTTCACGGCAGCCATGTTGTGGGCCAAAACAATGGAAATGTTTCCCTTTTGCACACTTTCTTTTGTTCAATTAATAATAACCAATTTTCTTACTATTCTTATGAGGCAAATTGCAATATAAGAAAGGACATTAAGGGGGAGGATGGAGAATGGTGTCACAAACTTCAGAGAGTTTTTAAAGCCCTCTTTTCCCCTGAAATGTGTGGTAATAATATATTAATCCAGTATTAATAATATGGTTTTCATCAGGAATCCAGAGCCAAGATTGGTCCATATAGAAAAGAAAGACACCTTGGGTATATCTATTGCACCTGGAAACAATGGTGGGATTTTTGTTTGCTCTGTAAGCGCAGGAAGTGTTGCTGAAAAAGCTGGTTTGAAATATGGAGACCAGTTGTTAGAGGTAAGGCCACAGGCAAGAAATAGTACTATTATTAACAAATCCTGACAAAGGGATTGTGCTATGATTTTTTAAAAAATCTAAATACAAGGGCCCACATATTTGCTCACACTTGGGTCACAAGCATTGTGTTGTGGGTACCAATTAGTATTTAGGGGGTCCTCAACACAAGTCAATTGAGTATATGGACAAGTGAAATTGCAAAAAAAAAAATGCTTTTTGCAGCCATCATCACCACCATGTTGGTGGTATTCAACAACAGATTTCTCAGATCCTCCTTTAGTAACAAGGCACACCTGTATGGCTGCCATGTCTTTTTCTCTTGACTCCCCTGGGAATGGTTGCAAACCATTAATTTTCCAATTTCTGTTGATAAAAGTAAAAGTTTTAGTAAATAAAAGCATAGATTGCCTTCATCTGTGAAGCGTAGGTTACAYTGATTATAAATACTGGTAGCAGTTTCTTCCTTTATTCAAAGAAACATTCTACACCTTGGCTTATGTATTCACTGATTGGATTTGTTTTGAATTCATGCATCTGTTGCAACAAGATCTAGATATCACAGTATTGGCCATTAGCTCACCAAGATTCTCCTGAGCGGTGGAGCATCCAACTATCCAAGCATATATCCATTACTGCGGTTTTCTGCGTATTCTGCGAACTTGGTAGTTGCAAGCTGCACACTGAAAACTTAATTTTCTTCTTTTTTCTTTCTTTTTTTTTTTTTTTTTGCTGCCCTCAATCAAAAACAAGGCGTTGAAATGTCTGAGTTTGCGCAGAATATCGAAAAACCGTAGTAAGGACTTGGATTTTTTCACGAGTTTCCTTGCTTTCGCTGTGACACGCTGAATGATTTCATCTCCTAGTTTCTTAATTGTTCTGAATTCCCACTGACATGTGAGAAATAATGCATTTTAGCATAACTTGGTAAATTCGCGCGCGCTGATTGGCTTAGAACCATTGTCGATTAGAGGCTAGACCTGCTTGTGCTTACAACATCCGTCACGCGCAGTAAGCGARCGGATAAAACGGCTTTTTCAAACTATTAACTTGTCTTTTTGTTAAATTTTGTCGACTTTGTTATTCTTAGTACAATGGAGTGAATCTCAGATGTGCCAATTATGAACAAGCTGCCAAGATTCTCAAAGAGTCTGGTAACAGTGTAACCATCCTGGCACAGTTCAATCCCCAGCGGGCCCTGGAAGGAGATTTCGATATTGATACCTGCAACTCAAGTATATCTGAATCAAGTACAACATGTAGCACGCCGGTGAACAGAAGAAAAGTGAAAAGAGATGACAGCACGATTACACCACCTTTGCCTAAAGATGAAAAGGTAGTGTATTGCTGGGTCACGCTACAGATTTTGATGGACCGAGAGAGAAAAAACTRGGTGGCGCGGTCTAGTGATTTTTTGTCGTAGTACAGTAGTTAAAAGAAGCACAAAAATCAAGAGAAAATGAACTCATATATATTGGTTTTTTTCTTTTGTTTTTGTTTTT